ACCCCGACAGCGGCGAGAAGCTAACTCTGTGTAAGTAGGTAGAGATGGGAGTGGAAGGGTGGGTGGGATGAGAGCAAGGGAGAGGAGGGAGGGATGGAGAGGAAGGGGGAAGGGAGGGAGAGGGGGAGAGGGAGTTAAAGAGAGAGCGAGAGAGAGAGCGTGAGAGAGACAGACAGATAGAGAAACTGATATATATATATATATATATATATATATATATATATATTATACGCTTTTGGTGGGTATGTGCGTTCGTGTATGTGCGTGCGAGCGAGCGCACGTGCGTGCGTGCGTGCGTGCGTGCGTGTGTGATACACGGCATCGTGATCAATCACGCCTCGATTTGATCTTTACTTGACGTGAGCGGAGGCGCGAGCGAGCGCGGGAAGCCAGAATCACTGCTGTGAGAGAATCCTCACTCCCCCCCCCCTCGGTAACGCCACACATACACGCGCGAGCGCAGAGAGAAACAGCGACAGCGAGAGCGTGAGTGCATGGAAGAGAAAACGAGAGTGATAGATAGAGATAGATAGATAGATATATAGAGAGAGGGGGAGAGATAGAGAGAGAGAGGGGGAGAGAAGGTGAGAGAGCGATAGAGAGAGAAGGAGAGAAGGTGAGAGCGATAGAGACAGGGAGAGAGAAGACGAGAGAAAATAAAAGAGAGAGAGAGGGAGAAAGTGGGAAAGAAAGAGGCTCCGGTGCGATAGCGTGGTTAGTCAACAATGCCGGACGAGGGACGACACACCACAAACATGACAACGAGGCACCCCACCCTGCTCTGCTGGCCTTCCGTTACGTCTTATAATAAGTGTCAACCCGGTGTATAAACAAAGGCTATACAGATATAAGCGTAGCCAGACAAAGGGCTAAATAACCGGCAAGCTCTCTACTGCACGGCCGCTTACAGCATAGCCCAGTTTCTATCCTACACGTGTAGCTTTGGCACTCTTCTCTCTACTATTTTAGGAGTCCATTTAATACTCTACTCACTGTATTATTTACTCGTCCCACAACAACAGGACAATACAACGGTGCCTACGCAGCAACCGAAGCTCCTAACTGTGGCTGACTCTCTGCGGGGTCTCACGCACAAGCCACGTCGAACACCGGTGGCCGTACTGTACCACCAGTACACGTACGCTAGCTGTCACCATACTCTCCAGTCTCCACACACAACTCAACCGGCCTCTCCACTCCATGCTCATACAGAGTGAACTAGCTACATGCTGCGACGCCTACTTATCTAAACTCCCGAGACGAACTCGAGTGTTACCTCTCTCAACTTCCGAGACGAACTCAGCTGTCACTCCAGTCTCACACACAGTGTCAGCTATTCATTTCTCCCGCGCCACTCTCCGCCGCTAGAGGGGGTGGCTAACCCACCCAACATGGCTGCCTCATGTAGGGACTCGACTATCCACATCTATCAATTGGTGAGCAGGCATAACAGCACGAAAACTCACACTAATAGACACCAGACATCACAATTAATTATACAATCGCAAACACAGAACATTTACCCATACCCTGCCTGTGGTTCCCAGTGAGCTACCTCACAATTACCTAGCTTGGAATCGTGGTGACCGGTGCCATCGCCACACTCCTCCCCTCTTCAAGATCGACCGTCAGGTCGATCCCAACAACGTACCTGGCGGTGCACCGGCACCCGGCGTAGAGGAGACCAGCTGGATCTATCTCGGTGCTGGCTTGTCCCCCCTCCGCACTTTCTTCGCCAATCAGACTCAGGAAAGTGTTGGCTCTTCTATCCAATTCGTCGTCCTGCAGTCAGGCCTCGAAGAGCTCTGCCCTTCCTCGCTGGTCCCTACTCCAGAGAATGCCCAGCTCGCTCGTTTTTTCCCCGGCAGCTGCACCAATGACTACCCTCCAGTGAACATTGCATAGTTCTCTGGAGGCCACCTCCGGCCGATCCTCGCCGATCCCCAACGCTGCCTCCCTGGTCACCGAAAGGTCGACCATCAGGGCAGACCCCTCCTTCCTCACCGGGGACGATACCACGGTGCGGGCCTGCCTCTACGGATGGTCCATCTCCATCTCCAGGATCTCGGCATCCCCTCCAGGCCACATATTCATCGTCTTCGCTCCTCTGGACGCCACCTCCGTCCGGATACTCATACCCGGGCACGGGCCGCCTTGCCTCATACCTAGATGGGGCGGATGACATCAAACCAGCATCAAACCTCAAACTCGTTCTGATCAAGAGTAAGAATCTCGAACGTCCGTGGGTGAGTAGCGCGGTACCAGCCGGCTAGAGAACACACGTGACACAACTACCTCGGATGCCTCCAACAGCCACTGCTCGAATCAGTGCGGTGCAACATTCTACGGGCCATAGGAGGGTTGTCGCTTGGCCGACCAACACGGAAACGTAGCAGTATGGAACCCGTACCCCGTCCCTACCCCGCACCACGCAGGCCCCTGGCTCCCACGTTTGCGTTAATACAGGTCAGGAACTGCGAGCGCCCCTATGCGTCGCCCGAAACGAGCGGCTGGCGAGAGACTTGTCATCCTGTCCCCTCACGGAGCTCCGGATGCCCAGAGATGCGCAGGACCATAGCGGAAAACCACACGTCTGAGAACCAGCCCAGCCTTAGCTACACCGCTACCAAGCGCTTAAGCAAGGTGAGGTAGTATTATCAGAAAACAACCCCGGAAGAGGGGAACACACCGGATATATAGGCATCACCAGATCCGTCCCGCAGACCAAAATGCCGCAATCCGGGTCGGAACAGACAGCATAGCCTCCCGAATGCTATGGCGAGCCCTGAAACACTCTGCCTGACAATAACCCAGAGAGTCAATCCACCCCTGACAAGTATGACACACATGCCCAGTCAGGCTTGCCTTTACCGCACCAAGAACGGTCACGGCACGACAACACCATCTCCCAATCGGCATGTCTCAAATAACCACTCCGGGATAGTAACTCCGGGAACTACAGACTGCATGGAATCGTTACCAACCATGGCAAGCGCATAGACTGCCGATAAACAAACGCGAATTAGCTACCATTATATGGCTTGCTCCCCACAAACCAACAGTCACTCCTCGGTCTGACAACACCATCTATGGCGACGCATAACCGCAGTGACACGGAGCTTTCACTAACCTCTTGCCCGGTGCACAAACCACCTAACCGGTCCTTCGATTGCCCCGAGACAAGCGACTTAATAGGAACCTCCTCAGAATCACCCTGAGGGCCGACCACCTGCTGCAACTTTACCGCTTGCGTCTTGAGACTAGAACGAGAAGATCCTGAGCCGTCATACTCGTCCGACTCTGTGTCAATTATTACCTGGGAATCCGTGCCGCACGGGTCATTTGCAACTTGATCCGCCACGTTCCCCGGGCTACCAGACCCTCCAACCACCTCTGCGTCCACACCATCAGCCCCATCTCCCAACCAGGAGACTGGTGCATTCACACCCTCGTAGACATTCAGGTTATCTACGGCAACAACTCCCACTACACTATCTGGGTAATCTTAAACCCACCAACCGTTATCTCGTCGCTCATTAACAACCTTACCTTAGCAAAGAAACCCGACTCAAACAACTGGTGTAAAAGCCTTCTAATGGAGTAACAGGTTTACCCGAGAAAGGCTTACATTTAACCATATCTACGCCAGCTTTCCGAGGAAAACGCCCTATTCCCTCCGAAATTCTCTTATGAATGGGGATGAACTAACCATACCCTCCTCAAATAACCACCGCATCGGGAAGGGGGACGCGAAATCCGCGCTATTCCCCCCACCAGAGCTTGTGTGTGGCCCACCCCATCGGTAAGAAAGCACCGGGCCACCCTCACGGTGCCCGAAACCCGCCATCTCGTCTGATTGCCTCTCGCGAGCACATATCTCAACCCAACCAGAAACAAACCTGGCACGCAGGGCAGACTCTAGCCCGAGCCACCGACAGCGATTACGCAGTACTCACTACTGCTGTCCTGTTGAGCGGTGCAAACCATGCGACCGCCTCTCGTTAACGTGGGGGAGTTCTCATCAACTCTTTGTGTGGAGTCAAACTACCACCGGCCCACCGCCTCATGTCCGTACACTGACCCCTATAAAAATCAAGGTCTGGTGCAATTACCACGCCTAGATGACGCCTCCCGCAAGCACACTTAGACAGCATCGTACTCCGCCCTCCCGGCAAGCGTCGACTAACAAAATCAGACTACTACTAACGCGCAACCGGCAGACCACGGCAACATTTGCAACACAATGTTACGAAGAGTCTACTGTCACGGCACCAATTGTAGCGTTTTGTGGTCTCCCGGCGACGCCCGATGGCGCCACCAGTCGACTCGTAGTGACTAGCAATAACCTTAGGTAAAAACACTCACCTAGTATGTGCGGATGCGTTGAAATGGCCGTATCGTCGCCACCCGGACTCCGCTAGCCACCAGAGCACCTCAGTGCTACTGCGCTCACTCCATAGTACCCAACCCAGCGTTCGTTCCGGCTCCGGTGCGATAGCGTGGTTAGTCAACAATGCCGGACGAGGGATGACACACCACAAACATGACAACGGGGCACCTCACCTTGCTCTGCTGGCCTTACGTTACGTCTTATAATAAATGTCAACCCGGTGTATAAACAAAGGCTATACACAGATATAAGCGTAGCCAGACAAAGGGCTAAATAACCGGCAGGCTCTCTACTGCACGGCCGCTCACAGCATAGGCCAGTTTCTATCCTACACGTGTAGCTTTGGCACTCCTCTCTCTACTATTTTAGGAGTCCATTCCATACTCTACTCACTGTATTATTTACTCGCCCCACAACAACAGGCCAATACAACGGTGCCTACTCACCAACCGAAGCTCTTAACTGTGGCTGACTCTCTGCGGGGTCTCACCCACAAGCCACGTCGAACACCGGTGACCGTACTGTACCACCAGTACACGTACGCTAGCTGTCACCATACTCTTCAGTCTCCAAACACAACTCAACCGGCCACTCCACTCCATGCACATACAGAGTGAACTAGCTACATGCTGCGAGGCCTAGCTCTCTCAACTCCCGAGACGAACTCAGCTGTGTCACTCCAGTCTCACACACAGTATCAGCTGTTCATTTCTCCCGCGCCACTCTTCGCCGCTAGAGGGGGTGGCTAACCCACCCAACATGGCTGCCCCATGTAGGGACTCGACTATCCACATCTATCAATTGGAGAGCAGGCAAGACAGCAAAAAACGCACACTAAAGGCCAAGACACACTGCAGCGACAGCAACCGACCGTAACGACAAACGACTTTTCAGCAAGTTAAAAACGATTGTTTTCTATGAGCCATTGCACAGACACGCGACAACGACCGGCGACAACCTCGACGACAAAAATATTTAGGAACGTTTCTATTCTCCAACGACAGTCGCCAGTGACACTTTACATATAGCCAATCGCAGCCGTTTCCGTCGGCACGTGACATTACGATTACGTCATAAATAACCCATAATGCTAGCCAAGACGTAGACTGGTCTCCGGCGCTAAACTCGCGACGCATGTCACAAACAATGGAGCCGCGAACCAGTCTAACCAAAGCGTGCAGCTGTAGCAAGCTACGGTCAGTGTATATGACACAGTACGCAGTACATAACAATTTGCTGCGTATATTTTACTTTATTATCTTATCCTTATACCTAGAGAGTTTTTGCAGCATGTTATTTAAAAGCAGCAGCATGAGTTTTTGCCGTTTGTTCATGTGATGATGTGTACCACTGTGGCGAGTGCTGGGTGAACTTTGACCTAACGTCGGTCGCTGTCGCTGCAGTGTGTTTGCGCCAGTCGCCGCGACCTTTGTCGTTTGTCGTTACGGTCGGTCGCTGTCGCTGCAGTGTGTCTTGACCTTAATAGACACCAGACATCACAAATAATTATACAATCGCAAACACAGAACATTTACCCATACCCTGCCTGTGGTTCCCAGTGAGCTACCTCACAATTACCTAGCTGGGAACCGTGGTGACCGGCGCCACCGCCACACTATAATATATATATATTATTATTATATATATAGGCCTATATAT